CACAAAAAGTCAGATATATTATTATAACAAATAGGATTTTTCTTTATCATAAAGAATTTTCTAACCATTTCTGAGGTTTCAGGAAGACACAGCTCAGATGATCTTGGGCTTGAGCTGAATGAACCTCGTTTCATGGACTCCAGGGCCTCTTTGAGAGATGCTAATATCCCTGGAAGCTCTATAGAAAAAATAAAGTCGCATGTTATAAAAGTTAGGGCAGAAAAAACACTAGTTTGTGTTCTTCATATATAATTTGTATTTTGTTTAAATGGTGAAACATATTTAATGAACCATTACTGTAACTTCCACCCTATTATTAAAAGTAATTATTCATTATTAATAAAGACAGAACTTTCTTATTGAAAGTTACAAGTTGTGACAGCTGATAACGCCTTGATTAAATGTAAAAAAGCTGAAATACTCATAAAATCATATAAATCAGTCCCTCGAGAAAAACACGATTATGTGATTGCATAATTCAATGCATAATCAGGCAAAATACATATTCATTTTTCAAATACGTGTTAATATATATAGGTCACTTAGTTACTTAGCTGCTACATGACACACTATTGCCTTTTTTTGTTGTTTTTCACCAACAAAAAGTTACAAATCAAGAGGATCAACTACTACTTACTCGACTTGACCTCATCTACTCAATGTCTTTGCAATGTGCAAATTCCTTGGCTAGGCTAAATATTAAATATAAAATCTCTCATTTCATTATTTAACATCATTTTAATTTCTCAGTGCAAGATATTTAATAATTGGTTTTGTGAAAGCTTATAGTTGGTGATTACAACTTAATTTATTTATCGAATTGACATGAAAACTGACAGCCTACTAATAATTAATTAGATTTTACTATGAATTAAATATCACAGATGTGAAAGTTTATTAGAGCTTAAATATATTATAATATTTAAAACACAAGAAGTTACTTAGGGACAATCAAGCCTGTCGTGTAAATCACCATTAATAACTTTTTTCTGCAAACACAGTGTGCAATGTTTTTATAGTTGTATTATGTCACTGTCTAGATCTATAACAATTAAGTTGATAGACGTCAATGGATTAACTCGCTTTAGTGTCAAATCAACAGAAACGCCAGTAATCCACAGAACATCGACATCAACTTCTGAAAATATTTTCTAACCCCAAAGTGAGAATAAAGCCAATTATACTAATCACTTAAACTAATAAACTTACCACCAAGAAGTAAGATCTTTTCTGGCAGTATCTTGCTCTGTCCATGTCGTGGCGGCGCAGCTCTGCGTTGTCCTCTTCACTGCTAATTGTTCGCGGGAGCTGACGACCTGGTAATCTGCTCGTGTGTTCTCTCAATATTAGATCGGTGCTATCCACATTCACTAGGTCCGAGCCAGTGAAATAACAAAGCAAAATTTGGAAAATACATGATTTCTGTTGAAATATCCGAAGCTATAATGGATACCACAGACAGTCAGTATCCGCTGTCCGCGCCCGCCCAACATGTAAGTTCAAAATGGCACTGTGTGTGATTGGACAATTGCGGCAAGCTTGTTTTGAAAAGATTGGCTCTGATTGGTCCAAATGAATGCAACTGGAAATATTAACTAACATCCACAAAAAAAGAACAAACTCTGTTTATATAAACCTAACATGCTTATTAACAAGTTTTTTTAATTAATTTTGGCTAAACAAATGTAAGAGTCAAGCTTTAAGAAATTTATTTTGTTTTTCTAGTATGTACACCTGATCTTTTATGTTGATGTGTGCAAGTACTGGTATTCACTTGTTTTGTGGAAAAGACTATTTGATTAATTAATGCAGAAGTATAGAAGTGCATTACTTGTTAGTCAAATTTTAGTGCTTTTCATAATTAATAACAAATTAATTTAAAAAAGTTTAAACCTAAAACACATAATATAAAGTGTGAAATACATATGCATTGAGTTAAGTGTTGGTAGTATTACAAAAAGTGTGTTAGTTTTTGGTATATTTCTTAAAAGCTTAACTGAGCACATATTTATAATTAAAGTGCTACTTCTAGTCTTTGTAGAAATATACAATTAATTTCGATACATGTTTAATTGCCTTCATGTTAGGAAGGGAATTAAAGGGACTTGAATTTTTAAACTTGAAGTGAACACAAAAAATACTTTAATTTAGCAACAAGTATGCTTTCTGTAAATACACTAAAACTTCACTAAAACTATGTTTGTTTTTAGCATATTTCTAAAAGTGTAATTAAGTGTATATTTATTAGCATTGCGTTTCTAGTAAAACATTTTTAAATATAATTAAAATATGTTTGTATTTAGCATATTTCTTAAAAATGTAATAAATACCAATGTACTTCTAGTACACTTTTTAGAAACACATATTTAAAGCATGATTGTCATTAGCATATTTATTAAAAATATAATTAAGCACACATTTTATTACCAATGTACTAATAATATACTTTTTTAGAAATACATTAAAAGTATGCTTTTCTATAGTGTATTTCTTAAAAGTGTATTTAAACATATATTATTACCAATGTACTTCTAATATACTTTTTAGAAATACATTTAAAGTATAATTATCATTAGCATATTTATTAAAAATATAATAAAGCATACATTTATTACCAATATATTACTAATATACTTTTTATAAATACATTAAAAGTATGCTTTTCTATAGTATATTTCTTAAAAGTGTATTTAAACATATATTTATTACCAATGTACTTCTAATATACTTTTTAGAAATACATTTAAAGTATAATTATCATTAGCATATTTATTAAAAATATAATAAAGCATACATTTATTACCAATATATTACTAATATACTTTTTATAAATACATTAAAAGTATGCTTTTCTATAGTATATTTCTTAAAAGTGTAATTAAATATATATTTATTACCAATGTACTTCTAGTATACTTTTTAGAAATATACTAAAATGCAATAAAATACATTTTTAGTACACTTTAAATAAGCATGTTGTAAATACAAATGTATTATAAACACACTATTTGTATTTCAAATATATTTTTAATACATTTAATACAACGTCTTTTTCACCTGGGTCACCTGCACCCGAAAGATATATTTTTTTAACCTAGTTTTTTGTAATCCTTAAGGTGTCTGGAAAAGGAATTTTGATGTTCCCCGCGCAAATTTTTGTCCCATATGTGATTTTTTTGTATCATCTTTTGTGTCCGTGCTTGATTTTTGGCTGCGGAAAATGAAAACTTTAAACCTACATAGAATCTGAACAATACATCCTACAGACACAATCTACCCCATTTTCTCTTCGTCTTTGCATGAGGAATTGATAGATATGAGGATTGTCTTGATTAGATGATGTATAGTGCATAAAAACTCAAATAAACACCAAAAAATGTCAAAAAATGGTGACATTAGATCACTGGAACTCCTCCCCTATGGACCCTTCTGATATATGTTTTCTAACTTTTGTATTTTTACAGTCTTTAGGATGTCTAAGAAGCAAATGTTGATGATCCCCACCTGAAATATTGTCACATGTATGTATTTTCTGGCTATATTGGTTGCCACCCTGGATATCCAAAAAAGCACATAGGCAGTCTGTTTTTCTCCTTTAGTTTTCGATTTGATAAATCTCCTCCATTTTTCATAACTGGCTATGTAAATTATTGTTGAGCACATGTTGAGCTTGTTCCCAATGTTCACTTGTTGCACATTAAAAATATAACATAGATATTTTAATTAAATAATACATTTTAAGATACAACGTGTTCAAAAATATGCATTAATTAAAAATCACATCATGTAATTAGGATTCACTGGTAATGTGAGGTTTATTTAACATTTTTAAACTAACTACACAAATACATAGCCTACACCATGCACCAACACACAATTAGAAAGGTCTTTCTTGGTGAAGAGCATTTAGCGTTATGGAAGCCCACATTAACTGGCAGATAATGGTCTCTCCAGATTTCTGTTGAGTTGAAAAAAAAAATGTTATGCTTAATAATTAATTAATTATACTTTCATTATTATTATTATTACTACTGGTGAGGGAATGTGTTTCATCTCGAGTGGGACAATCTGAACAAAATAACAACAAACATTCATGGCTCAAGTGTGGTGAACTGGACCAATGGGATCATGATACAGGAGGTGAAACCTGAATTTGATGCCGCCAACTCTCTGGAAATTCCATGAATGAACAAGACGCGCTCCCACCCTAAATTCATCATCAAGTCATGATTAGATGATGTATAGTGCATAAACACTCAAATGAACACCAAAAAATGTAAAAATAAATTGTGACATTGGATCACTGGAACTCCTGCCCTTAGGACCCTATTGATATATGTTTTCTAACTTTTGTACTTTTACAGTCTTTATGATGTCTAAGAAGCAAATTTTGATGATCCCCACCTGAAACATGTTGGTCGAAATGAACATCCCATAATAAGTAGATACTATTCAAACCATTATATTGGTGTTATATTTATTGAAACAAAACAGAAAACCACTCATATAATCAAATACTGTATACTGTATGTGTAATGTATATATGAAGAGTTCAGATGCAAAAGCCTCTAAGTGCCATTTGAAATTTGGTTCTAGAATGACCATTTTTATCAAGCTTGTGTATTTAAGTTCAGCAATTTCACTTAAATGACCATTAATAGGTAATCTTCATTGCCATTTAAGTGAAATTACTGAACTTAAATATACAAGCTTGATAAAAATGATAATTTTAGAAGAAAATTTCAAATGGCACTTAGAGGCTTTTGCATCTGAACTCTTCATATAGGGTATAACAAATCCCCATTAGAATAAACTGAAATAGAAAAAAAGTGATTCTAATCAACCCCTCCTTGCACTGCCACCTTAACGTGGTGGAGGGGTTTGAGTACCCGAACGACCCTATGAGCTATGTTGTCCGGGGCTATATGCCCCTGGTAGGGTCTCCCAAGGCAAACCGGTCCTAGGCGACGGGTCAGACCAAGAACGGTTCAAAAAACCTTATGAGTGAAGTGAAAACAAGGACAGCCGGGGCCCCACCTTGGAGCCAGTATGTGAGCGCCTGGTGGCAGGGCCTCCCACACGGTGTCCGGCAGGGCTCAGTCCGAAGAAGCAACGTGGGGCCTCCTTCCCGTGGGCTCACCACCTTCAGGAGGGACCGTAAGGGGCCTGTGCTGAGAGGATCGGGCGGCAGTCGAAGGCGGGGCCTCAACAACCCGATCCCTGGACATGGAAACTAGCTCTAGGGACAGAATGGCCCCCCTGACCTGAACCCGAGTAGTGTTCAGTTATTGGACTTCTGTGCTAGTCACAGTTTGTCCACAACGAACACCATCTTCAAGCAAAAGGGTGTCCATCAGTGCATGCAGCACCTGAACACCCTAGGGCGTAGGTCGATGATCGACTTTGTGGTCGTTTCATCTGACTGCAGCCGTATGTCTTGGACACTTGGGTGAAGAGAGGGGCAGAGCTGTCAACAGATCACAACCTGGTGGTGAGTTGGATCAGATGGCGGGAGAGGAAGCTAAACAGACTCGGCAGACCCAAGCGTACTGTAAGGGTCTGCTGGAAACGTTTGGCAGAGATCTTCAACTCCCACCTCTGGAGGAGCCTCGACCAGATCCCGAGGGAGGCTGTAGATATTGAGTCCGAGTGGACCATGTTCTCCACCTACATTGTCGAAGCGGCTGCTCAGAGTTGCAGCCGTAAGGTCTCCGGTGCCTATCGAGGCGGCAATCCCCGAACCCGGTGGTGGACACAGGAAGTAAAGTATGCCGTCAAGCTGAAGAAGGAGGCCTATGGGGCCTGGCTGGCTTGTGGAACTCCTGAGGCAGCTGACTGGTACCGGCAGGCCAAGCGGACTCCAGCCCGGGTGGTTGTGGAGGCAAAAACTCGGGCCTGGGAGGAGTGCACTTTTATGATGGATAGATGCACTTTTATGATGGACAGATGCACTTTTATGATGGACAGATGCACTTATGTGATGGATAGATGCACTTTTATGATGGACAGATGCACTTTTATGATGGACAGATGCACTTTTATGATTGATAGATGCACATTTATGATGGATAGATGCACTTTTATGATGGATAGATGCACTTTTATGATGGACAGATGCACTTTTATGATGGACAGATGCACTTTTATGATGGACAGATGCACTTTTATGATGGACAGATGCACTTTTATGATGGATAGATGCACTTTTATGATGGACAGATGCACTTTTATGATGGACAGATGCACTTTTATGATGGATAGATGCACTTTTATGATGGATAGATGCACTTTTATGATGGACAGATGCACTTTTATGATGGACAGATGCACTTTTATGATGGACAGATGCACTTTTATGATGGACAGATGCACTTTTATGATGGACAGATGCACTTTTATGATGGACAGATGCACTTTTATGATGGATAGATGCA